GTGCCTAGGCATGTATTAGGTGTTCAAAAGCTGTTTTTGAATAAATAAATAAATCCTTAGAAGGAGTGATGCTATAGCAAATGTGAAACGTATTGGTGTCTCAACCAGGGTTTCTACAAACACTCCTGCTTAGGAAAGACTCATTAGGGAGGTCAGGCAGAAATGACCTCTGCACTTGTGGGGGCACTTTATTTCCCACTTGCCCACTTTCCTTTTTCCATCTTATTTCTTACCATGTAACTACTGGTTCCGCTATTCCTTGAGTCTCTGGCTATAGTTTTTGTAGTATTTCAGCTCTCACTCTTTTCTTTTCTGCCTATCATCATTAAAACATATCTCTCTGGCTTCTATTACCAAAAGACTCTGGTCTGTTCTCTTCTAAGCTTATAAACTCATTAAAGCCCAAATATTAATGAATAATAATGTCTCTACCTCCCAGAAAATAATTTGCATTTAAACAACTTTCAGTGCCTCAATCCAAAGAGGCCAGTGATGATATGGGAATTCCCAGCAGGCAAAAGGCCTGGGCCAGCTGGGGTAGTCATGGAAAGGTCCCTCCAGCAAAATCAAATCACAGCCCATCGGCAGCTGTCCACTTTGGCTCTATAGGATGAATCCAGCCATGTATATCCCCTTCAGACCATGTGTACACACAGATACACAGGGTGTCAATTAGAGGCAGTGAGAACATCTTAACTTGCATGGAAATGAACCTGTCACTAGTGATATATGTATACACTTACATATATTACTATCGATTCCTTCCCTAGTGCTTTGATAGCTTTTCATCTAGCTTGCAGTTCCACTGGCACAAAGCCACAGCTTGGGGAGGAAAAGGAAACTGGATAGGTATAGTACTCAGCCCCCAAAGAAGCAAGACAGGGAAAGGAGATGACTACTGGAGCACAAATTACAAGCATGCTCCACTGGTCTTCTGGGGCCATATTTACAATGCTCCAAAACACAGTGAAGGTTCAGAGAGAAGGAAAAGGTTGAGAAGTGCAAACTTTACATCAAAAAACAATACCAACAACAACAAATTTCTGGTTCATAAGAATCTGTGCTATGCAAGGGAAGCAGTAGACTTTCTTAGGCCATCCAGTACTGACAGAGACAATTAAGAGAATCTTCTAAACAACTGAAGAGGAGGAATATATCCATTAGCAAATCTGACTGATTTATCCATCAGGAGCCCTTCTTCCATCTCCAGAGGAAGGAGCATTCATGCATATCCCATGGGCAAGAATGCTGCTTACTTAACCTTTCTAGGATACAGCAGATTAAGATGATCCCTTTACCCTAGTTTACCAGAACCAGCTCCAGGTGGTCTAGCCCATATGGCTGTCGAAAATGAACAAATAATTTTCTTTTGAATGATGATAGAGTATGACTCGTTTCTCCCCCACTCCACATACTGCTACGTAGGTGTCTCTGAATTTGTCATCTGGTGAAATGGGTATTGATCTGTCATTCCTCCAGGGAATCCCCGGTTTCATTTACTTCCTTCTCTAGACAAAGAGACACATTTATGTGACCACATGGAAGATTTCTACGTTTTATCAAAATGGCATCTTTTAAGTGGAAACTCACAAGAGCTTAGCCCAGATGTCAGATACTAAGTACCCTGATGGACACACAAAAAGGCAGTTTGTAACCTACGGTGAAACCAGTTTCTTAAACTACTTGTAAACCCACTAACTATAGAACTAAGGTGATCCACAAGCCACGGTGAAGTACACGTTGCTTTTGATCAGAACGGAGGTAGGATACATCTTTCACTCTGAGATGTTAAAGAAACCCTGCTTCCACGTGAGACGCTTCTCTTGCAACTGCTGGGTTGTCTTCTGGGCATGGCCACGGCCAGACCAGCGTGAGTGACCTGCAGCTAATACAAAATGCCTCGTGGGCCAGGAGACGACCAGGGTTCCCAGGGATTCTCCACTGTACTATAGGTGAGTCTTTCCCACCAAATCCAAGGAAACAGAGGAGCTGATAGTAATGTTACCAAGATGGCTTACCTCCTAGGAGGACCACCTGACTTCCAAGGTCAGGCCCCATGGCCAGTGGCTCTCATTCTTTAGTATAAACCAGAATGTCCTGGAAGACCCCCTGAAATGATGATTGCTAGGTCCCACTCCAGAGTGTCTGGTTTAGTAGGTTTGAGATAGAGCCCAAGAACTTGCATTTCTAACAAGTTCCCAGTGGCTGCAACTGCTGCTGATCCAAATGCCACACTTTGAGAACTACCTCTATAGGCATAGTTTGTCTATACCTCTCTCCCTTCCTCCTCCCGTTGTGGTTCATGGGGCCTGTGGTTGGGGAAGAGAGGGTAGAAGTTGCAGCTGCAGCAGCAGTACTTGGCACATGGGAGTCTTCAAGCCCAGGCTGCCATTTAAGACTGACAAATACGTGAGGTTACAGGCACATGGAATCAGGCAACCTTTCTCAGGATTCCAAATATGTACATCTGTCTTGTCTGGCAGTTTGATCCTAGTTTATCCACTCCACTTTTAAAGCCCATCTGATGATAGTTTGAGTCCACTGGCCCACACCCATAGCAATTAGACCAGTATTAGAGAAGAGCAGATTGGCAGATGTACCCAGAGAACTCATGCAGCATCAATAAGCAAACTTCATGAGGCACGGTGTCTTGAGTGATATCGCACAAGTGGCCATGGAGAGCAAGGGAGGGTACACATAGAGAGCCCTGGTTTAGGCAGAGAACAAAGCTTTCTCAGCAGACATTCCTGGCTGCTGCAGGTGGGGAACTCTTCTGAAACTGGAGATGAGACTATCAGCCTGAAATGCAGACAGCAACTCCGCTTCTAATTTCAAAGGACATTCATATGCCCTAGCCTTCACTCTTTTTTTTTTTTTTTTCCCCTAGAAAACTTGCCCCTCTAAGGATACAAAAGGCAGTCTTTGAAATCCATTTCTTTCTACACCTTGCCCATAGAGGAACAACAGTGCAGTAAAATGTTGCCAGTGGAGTTGGACTAAGAGGAACAGTGAGGCTGCAGAGTGGTTTTGGTTAATGCCAGTATTCAACGGTGTTTTTGTATGTAAAAAAGGAAGTGGGGAGCTGCCTTAGCTGCTCGAAATATTTCTGAAGGGCTAGACTGTGTCATTAAATACTGTAGATGGTATCTGTCAGGAGAGATGACACATTTGTTTCCATTCGTGTTGTGTATTCTTTGTAGGTCAGCTAGGGCTCTGCTTTGCCTCATCCTTCCTCTAGGACCCAGGCTGAGGGAGCAGGCACTGTCTGGAGCATTGCCGATTGCCATAGCGGAGGGAAAGAAAGAATGGCAAAATTACATGCTAGGTTTTATGCTTTTGTCTACAGTGGGTTGAACAGTATTGGCTACAGTGGGTTGAACAGTATCCCCCCAAAATTCACATCCACTCCTGGATCCTCAGACCGTGTGACTTTATCTTAAAAGAGGATCTTTGCAGGCGTATTTAGTTAAATATTTGGAAATGATATCACACTGGATTTAGGGAGGGCCCTGAATCAAATGAAGGAGAGGGCCACAGAGACAAAGAAGGCCACAGGAAGACGGAGGCAGAGATTAGAATGGTGCAGGTCAATCCGAGGAACTCCAAGGATTACCAGTGATGAGGGAGCAGAAGGGAAGCTGAGGGCAAAGCACAAGCTGACACCCCACAAATCCCCTGCCCTCCAGGTGGGATCAGTGTGACATTCCTCAGGCACTCCTGGCTGCCCTAAAACTAATAAGGGAAGGGAAAGAAGAAACCAAATGGTTAACTGATGGAGATCACAGTCCTGCAGGACATTAGTCTCCATCAGTTTACAAATGTCTTAGTGATTTACAAGGAATAAGCATTTTTATCAATAGCTTAACTTTCAGAAACCCATAGACTCAGTTTCCTGGGGCCCTAACATCACCCTCCCCTCCATAGTGATGTGGGAAACAAAGGCAGAAAGGAAGGAAAATAAAATTAAATTTCTTTATAACCTGCAGCCCATTGACAAATAGCTGAAATAGGCAGAGAGTAACATTCCTCCAGGAAACTTCCAACTATCTTAATGTTAATGCCTTACTTGTGGGAGGTGGGGGATAGGGTAGGGAACACTTTTGCTTGACAATAGCCATGCCTCCAGTATCCCAAGAGTCTTCTTTAGCATATGAAAGTCCTTTTAGACACCTCCCTTTGTCCTTACCTCCCCCGACTCCCAGATATGTAATCAGCCACTCCTCACAACCCTGGTGCTGCAGCTCTTTCTGCCCAAGGAGCCTGTCCCCACGCTTTAATAAAACCACTCTTTTCCGCACCAAAGATGTCTCAAGAATTCTTTCTTGGACGTAGGCTCTGGACCCCAACAACACTCCATAACCACATCACTAGGATCCACCAAAATCTAGGAGGAGACAAGGAAGGATTCTTATCTAGGCCTTCAGAGGAAGCATGGCTCTGCGGACACCTTATTTTCAAACTTCTAGCCTCCAGAACTATGAGAGAATAAATTTCTCCCATTTCAAGTCCCCTCGTTTGTGGTTGTTAGGGTAGCCCTAGGATACTAATACACTGGGCAAAGTAACTCACATCATCATACCCAATTGCAAGGGGATGGGGAGGGACAGTGCAGCTGTGCTGGGTACTCCCCCTCAGATCAGTTATTCTTCTTCTTTTTTTTTTTTTTAAGATTTTACTTATTTATTTGTCAGAGACACAGCGAGAGCAGGAACACAAGCAGGGGGAGTGGGAGAAGGAGAAGCAGGCTTCCCGCCGAGCAGGGAGCCCGATGCGGGGCTCTATCCCAGGACCCTGGGATCATGACCTGAGCCAAAGGGCAGATGCTTAATGACTGAGCCACACAAGTGCCCCTCCATCAGAACAGTTCTGCTCTACTCTGCACCTGGAAAGCTAAGCTTTGAGAACTGTACAAACAGCCTCCTTTCCTTCTGGTTTCTGGTTGAGATTGACCCACAGCAGGAGTTCAGAGGGTGGGAGGAGAGTGAAGTTGGAGCACTTACCTTGCCCCCCTCCCCTTCCTCTCCACAAGGCTGGCTGTAGCTGTGTTCTCCACCAAAGCTGTCCTGCCAGGCAGCCCTCCTTCAGGTTCTCCTTCCTCTCAGGGTTCTGGTAACCACGTCTTTCCCCCTTGCACCTCCAGACCAGGCACCTAGGGGCAGACAGCTGTTGTTAGATAACAGCATTTGGCCATTCCTTGTTGGTTTCCTTTTCACCCTGCCCACACCCTCGTATATTAATCTCCTCTAAATCACTCTATTTGAGCATGCCATCGGTTTTATCGGGGATCCAGTGGCTACATCGTCTCCCGTACCTGGGAGGAGAGCTGGAAATCTGGGGGACACCTTGGTGACATCCTCACTAAGTTGAGAAGCAGCAATAGTGGGAAGTGCAGGGACAGCAACAGATCACATACCTGCTTTGCTCCCTATACTCCTCTGCAGAGGAAAGAGCATGAGCTCTGAAGCAAGATTCAAACCTCAGTCCACCATTTTTGCCTGTGGTATCAACCTCTCCCAACCTCAGTTTCTTCACTTACACAGTGGGTATGAACAATGCTTCTCTTACTGGGCTGTTACGAAGATTAAGGGAATAAATAGGAAAAAGAACCTAACTTCAGTACAGAGTAATGCCTCCCAAAGATTGCCAAGCCCTAATTCCTGCGAATCTGTGAATATATGTTGCTTTACGTGGCAAAAGAGAGTTTGTGGATGTGATTAAGGTTACTGGCCTTAAAATAGGAAGATTATCCTGGATTGCCGGAGGGGCCCAATCTAATCACTTGAGCACTTAAAAGTAGAAGAGAAAGGCAGAAGAGTCAGTCATAGAAATGTGGCAGAAGAAGGGGAGGCAGAAGAGACATGCCAACATAAGAAGGATTTAATGTACCACTGCTAGCTCTGACATATTCAGAGACCACATGCAACTACACATAATGGCCCAAAAGAGGCCTCTAGATGCTAAGCACACCCCCCAGCCCCCAGACAGCAGCCGGCAAGAAAATGGGGACCTCAGACACTGAATTCTGCCAACCACCTGAATAAACCTGGAAATGGATTCTCCCCTAGAGCCTCCAGAAGGGAAAGCAGCCCAGGCAACACCTTGATTTTAGCCTGGTGGGGCCAGAAACAAAGAAACCAGCTGAGTCCAGTGGACTTCCGACCTACAGCACTGTAAGATAATAAATGGGTGTTGTTTTAAGCCCCTAAATTTGTTCTGGCAGCAATAGAAAATAAATACACTAGTACAGTGAGGTCTTGGTGCATCGTATGCACCCACTGCATGTATGTTATCTGCCCTCAAAGAGGAGAGTTAGGCAAGATATGGAGGGGCCTTCCCAGGACCCTAAACATTATGTGCTGTCAAAGAAATAAGCGGGCTGTGATTTTACAACCTAACCTAGAAGCTGGCTTTCTCTAGTGCTTTCCAGGTGTCATGAGTGTGGGCCCCCTACATGAGTAGCCTCCAGCAGCAGCAGGAGGGGGAGCAGGAAATGCTGTGTTTCTCCTGATTTAGGCAAAACAAGCCTGTGCACATCTGACATCCAGAAGGAAATTCACACTAGAGCCGACTGTCATCTCTCTGGTAGGATATTTCTTACCTGGAACCCTCAGTCCTGCCATCCTCCTACCTGGAGGCAGTTTCTGTTTCTAATATTTGCTTCTAACTGAAGCATGGACTAGGAGGATCATTTCCCACTGCTAAATCCTTCCTTCTGTTTCCCTAAGCCAAATCCATCTCTCCAACCACATGTCAGTATCTTCCAGCTGCCTAACCACCAAACCTAGTCCTTAATCAGAGAGCACAGACCCTCCTTGCTATACTACTTTATTTGATGACTGGAGCTCCTATACTTTAATATCTAGGTCAAGTTGAAATAACACTCTAGGACATTGAGCCCTGAGCCAGGTGTCAGAGATGTGGGCCACTCAGCATTCAGTCACTAACCAAGTGTGCAGAAAAGCAAGAGGATTAAGGGCTACCCACTGGGCACAGACATGTGCCTCTAGCTTGAATCAAACTGTAGACATTTTGCCAAGTCCCAGTACTTCTTTAAGGTTCCAGACCAGCAACTGGTGATCCTTTTGACAATAATTTTCACTACCCTTCCAGGAGAACCACCTCACTATAAGGAGATTGGAAATAGTAAGAGCTAAATACTGCGTGCTTACTGTACAGCAGGCACTGCTCCATGTAACTGTAAAAGTGTTAACTTACGTTACTCTCAAGGCAATCGAAGAGTTAATTTCTACTATTTTTATCATCTAGCTTTATAAAGGAGGAAACTAGGGCTCAGAAAGGTTAAGTGACTTGTCCGAGGTCACCTGGTAGTACATGGCTAGAGCTGAGACTCAAACCTAGGCTAAAATTTTTTTGTATACTACATACCACACTGATTTCTCTTGATTGAGTCAACATAGACAGAGCCTTTAGGTCTCGACTGGGCACTGTGGCAGACCCTGGAGATGCAAATATACCCAGGAAAAAATTCATTTTCTCAGAGCTGACATGATAGAAGAGGAGACCGTTTTGTAGAAAGAAATATGTATTGACACATTTTATTAGCGGCATGAACAAAGTGTAATGGAAGAAGTAATCGGACCCTCTAAGTGGTGGAGAATTATAGGAAAGAGGAAAAGTAGGATTGAGAAAGTCTTCTTGGAGGAGGTCAAAAAGAGGACAAGGGAGACAGACATAAATGAAAGTCAGAGAAATATCACATATAAGTGTGGGCAAAAAGCTCATTATCCCTCTTTCCCTTTGTTTCCTCATTGCTAAAATGGAGATCATAATACCCATTCTAAGGCTGTTACGAAGATTCATTTAGGTGATAAATTGAATGTGTATTACCTCTGTTCAAAACATTCTAATATATATTACTCCTTTGCCTTCCACCCTCCCCCACTCCACCAAAAAATAAAAAACAAAAAACCCTTATGTAAAGACCAGATGAACTCAAAATCCAAATTAAAAGCCTTGGGAGCATTAAAAGGGAAACATAAATATAAGGTGGTTAGATACTGGAGAAAGGAGCTCAAGGTTGTCTAAGAGAGATTTGGATTCTCTCTCCTGGAATAGGCCTCCTTTTGCTCCACCATCAAAACACATTCCCAAGAGTAGAGATATTCACCAGGGTGGCCTCTCATTCACCTGACTTAAGCCTACTGCATTTTCTGCACAGAGCTACATTAAGCACACAGCCTCAGCGGCTCCCAGTATGAAATAGAGCATCCCTCAATCTCTACCTCTGAAGATTGGGGACAGTCCTTCCCAGTCACTCTTCAGCTTTAGGGGGGGTCGGTTGGTCTCAGGGACAGCTGACAGCCTTATTTAGGCAACCAGCTGCTCTGTGATACACAATGTCCTGAATGCTCAAAGTCTGGTGGATGATTCTTTTGTATCCATATAAGCAGCAGTTGGAGGAGAATCCATCAGTCCCTTTGGTAGCCTCAGGGTGTCAAGGCTGCCATTCAAATCATTACCACCATAATTATTAACCATTGTTTTAGTGAGATATCTGCTAGGCGATTATTTTTCTTTCTTTTTCTAATCGTTAAAAAACAATCGAATTTCACTGGAACAACGCTTGCCTCAAGTCACATCAATACATTTATTAAACCCCTTCTGTTTTCACAGTTCAACAGGAAGTCTTAGAGGAGGGAATATTTAAAGTATTCTCTGATTTGAAAGAATTGATAATGCTGTGAGGAAGAGGTTAGACAACAAAATAACTATAGGAAAAAGTCACACAAGTATACAATATACTGCTACAGTGTCAGAGAGGGGCAATTTTATTTCCTAGATTTTATTACTACGGGGATGGGGTGCACTGGAGGAGTCGCTACGGGTAAAGGATTTGGAGAAGTGGGATATTGTGGTGGGAAACTGCTTTCTTTGCCATCAGGTAAGAAAAAACCAAGGGAGCAGACAGATATGCACTCCGTTAGAGTAGCCACCAGAGTCTGACTTTTTAACAATAGAGTTCATCATTTAGGGTAAGTGTTAAAGGTAGAGCTTTTGCTTCAGGATGATGATGTGTCCTGTGTGATTCAGTGAGGTCGTCAAAGTCCCTGTCCACATTTTGAACCCATTTTTCAAGCACGCTAACCCCAAACTGTAGAGGGCTGCGCGAGTTGCTGTCACTCACCAGGCTCAATGAGGGTCCTGGACGGGATGTCTTGAGTGTGTCGTGTGTCGGCGAACGTGTACAACCACGCCTGATTGCCCCTGGGGGCTCGAGGGCTCGGGGGCTCGGGGCTCGGCGTTAACCACACCTAAAAATGTTTACCTCCACGACCGACCTGTTTGCGGAACCCTGTTCAAAGGAGGAAAATACTAACGAACAAGGCGAGAAAGCGCGCCGGGAGCTCACAACCGCAGCAGAAACAATAGCCCGTGGGGCGGCGGGAGCTCGCTGAACTGCGGACCGCTCTGGAGCCCCCGAGGCCGAGCGGGAGCTCGCTGCCGACAGGCCCGGTCGCCGCCCCGCCCTCAGCGAAGCGCCTCGGGCTCCCCGAACGCGGGGAAGCGCCGCGACGCCCCCACCCGACGCGCGCGCTTGCGGGGGGGTGGTGTTTAGGGGGCGCCGCCAGAGGCAGGGGTTAGGGCGCGGCAGGGTCGACGCGCGAGCAGACGTCGGACCGAGAGGGGAGAGATATCAGGGGCTCGTGCGAGCCGGGGAGCCCAGGTCGGAGGGTGGCGCTCCTGAAGCGTGAGGGTGGGAGTGAAAGCGAGAGAGGACCGGCGCAGGGAGGACACCGGGCCCAGGACGGCGTGAGAGGCGGGAGAGAACCGCTAAGAAGGCGGGTACAAGGAGGTCCCTGGTGAGCGTAGGAATACACGCTCAGCCCTCAGCCGCCTGTGGCGGGCTGGCAAACAGACCGCGGGGGTGGGGAGTGGGGGATGACGGGACGTGACCGGAAAGTCCGGCGCGTGCCACTGCCTGGGAGCGGGATCCAGGCCTCGTCGGAGCGGACTGGAGTGGGGACTCAAGCCCGCAAGGCAGGAGGCCGTCGCGTCAACAGTCCCGGCGGCGGGGCGGGGGCGAGTGCGCGTGCGCGGTTCGCGCGGCGGGAGAGGGGGGGGAGCGGGCGTGGGGTGGCAGGAGCGCGCGTGCGCGCGGCCAGGCAGCCTGGGCGGCGGGTCTTGCTTGTGACGGACCGCGGCGTCCGGTCCTGCCCGTGACGGCGGTGGCGGCCAATACTGCCTGTAACAGCTGCGGCGGCTGCTCCAGACACCTGCGGCGGCGCCGGCGGCGACCGCCCGGCGGCCGCGGAGATGTTGCCCCTGGTGGTGCTGCTGCTGGGCTCAGCGTGCTGCGGTGAGTGGCCCCTCTCTCCTGGCTCGCAGACTCGTGTTTCGCCGCCCCCGAGGCGCCCCCGCGGGCGTGTGGGCTGCGTCCCGGCTGGCCCGGCGGCGCTTTGGAGAGGGTGGTCAGAGCGCGGGACACGCGGGCCTTGCTCGCCCCGGGTGCGGACGTAGGAGGGCCCGAGGGTGATCCTGCGCCCCCTTCCTTCCTTTCCTTCCTCTTCCTCTTCCCCCAGGGTGAGAGCGGGGTTTCTCTCCTTCCCCCGTACTCCACCTCCAGATGCACACCGAGGAAGATTCTGAGCCGTGCATCTCACGCAAAAATTAACTGTAGAGAGAAAGGGCGCGATCAGAGGCGAGGGGTGGCAACTGTTAGGGCCCCCCCTCTTTTGCACCCCTCTTCCTCCTCGGTGCTCAAACGCATTTGGGGCTGAAGAGGGAGAGTGGGAGGGCCCGGGCCTCTTGGAATAGAAGTGCGCATTTTGGAGAAGTGTGCTAGACGGAATTTCTCCTGTTTGCCCTCCCACAAGAACATAGAGTTAAAGAAACATAAAGGAACAATTAAGTTGCATTTCCAACCCAGCATTTAATCAGAAGAATCTTCTGGCCGCCTTTTTTTTTTTTTTTTAAACCCTAGAAATAAGCTACCTGGAAACTCTCCTACCCCCACGCCCTATCAACCACTTTAATATAGTCCAAATTGTACGTTCAAGTTTTTCCACTTTATTTGGGCGAACAGTTTTAATAGTAATCCAGATTTCGCTTGAAATATGAAGACTATAACCTCCAGTCAAAACGTATTTGCTGCAGAGTGGGATTTGGTGTCTTTCAACGCCAAAGGCGGTTGGCCCCCCTAGGCTTTTGGAATCCATTATGCTTTTTTTTTTTTTTTTTTTTTTTTTTTTGCGTGTGCTTCGTCTGTAAAAAGTGAGGAATGGGAATTTTCGTGGTTCTACAGTGCCTGTCACACTTTACATCTGTACAGTCTTCTGTTAACTTTTTGTAAGATTCAGTGTTGAGTTTGAGTAGCGCAATTGTTACATTTAATTCTAGAATGCTAAATTAGATTTTAAACTGATTATTAGCCTAAGCGTGCCATTTATAAACGCATGTGATTTCAAGCCATTTCCATTATGCCTTTAAATCCTTGCTTACCACTTTCTCCAATCGAAACATCCTGGGTTGTTGGAGTTGTTGATGGTATCTTTATTATCTAAAGAATTGATAATTAGATAAGGTAGTATTTCTTGTCGTCATCGTTAATGGCTTATTACCATTACTATTACTATAGCAAAAATAATACTGCTTTCAAAAACCTGTTGTGTGATCAGAAGAAAGCCTTCATATTGAACCAAATTACAAATTGGTAATAAAATATCACTAATTCAGACTGTTGGCATCAAAGCTAGTCTGAAGAATAAAAAAATGTAAATCATATACTATATTAAAAACAGTGGTCCTGTTTCCAAGCAGATGGGAAAGAACTGTATAATGGTATTTTGGGGATAAGATTTCTGCTAGGCCTTATTTAATAATAGTTAAATCACATATAATTAGCAATCATTTACATGCTATATTAATGTGCTCAATTCCCTACAGATTCACAGAATTCACAATTTATAGTATTTTATTGTACTTAATAATAACCTGAAAAAAAGCAAAATAGAGGCATTATACATTTGAGTTCGGCAAGTGTTGACTATAAAACAGAAAGTGATAGTGTTTGTCATAAGATATAATGGATTTTGTGTGTGTTTAATATGTAGTTTTAAAAAAGACAGGTACGAAGATATGATAACAGAACACAAGTCATTATCAACCAGGGTATTTAAGAGACTGAATTTAGAATTCAGAATGAGTAAAACAGTCGCAGGTGTGTACGTTTATTTGTACTGAAGTTTCATTTTGCTTTCAGTTTCATTTATAGATGACTGGTAATCAGAGGCATTTTTGGGAAGCCACTTAGTTTCAGTTGACCTTTGTTGTAAAAGAAGTTACCTGAAATGCTCCTTCCGTCTACTTACAGGCAAACTGCAACCCCCCTATTGGTTTATAAGACGCAGAATGAATTACTACACTCCTTTCCTCCCCCACCCCCTATAAGTCCAATTATACTTTGTTTAAAAGCACATCAGTAGTTTCAGTATTTTTTAGTAACTGGCAAATAAAACTTGACCTAGGTAATGACAGTGACATGGACTGGCTTTTCAGTGGTTGAATAATTTTTCTTTGTTTGAAGTGAGTTTTTAAAATCAAGGGTGCACATGATTAGAAAACAGTTTTATTGTCTAAGCCTGGTGGTAATTTGTCTTGCTTAAATGAAAACGTTTTCTCTTAAAGAATATATTACTTTTAAACACAAGTTGTTATTTTAAGGAAGTAAACGCCTATTTAAAAGTATTTATTTATGGGGCCACCCCAGCAGTCTAGAGGCAGTGTGTTAAAGCATTACACTAAATGCCTACTGTTAGGACACTTGCTCATGCTGTCATCTGTATTTTGGCAGATGTTTTATCTTTGCCACTGAATTGTTAATGGAGATTTGAAAGGCCAGGTTCTAAAGAAGAAAAGTAGGTGTTTTTCCTAAGTTTGATAAATATTCTAAGTCCACACTAATCACTCATTATTAAAACCAAGTTTGCATTTCTTAATGTTCATTCACCTAAAGCCAAATAAGCAGTTTTTAATACTTTAATGTTCTTTTTGTGGTACAGTTTTCATATAAGCATTTTAGCCATCTTTTAGGTTTTTGCTGTTAGCTTTTTATACAAGATAAAAATCTCTATATTTTGATGTCTTGTATCTCAGCCTAATACAATGCACTCTTGGGTTGTCATGAAGCAAATTTTACGTTGTGTCTTAGTGCAGATAGTTCTTCCATGATAAAAGAACAAGAATAATAGTGTAGGGTTGATTTTGTTAAACTCATTGTAGTACTAAAGTAAAAAATAGAGAGCACCCAAGAAATTTGATCCTGATATACCTAGACTGAGGCAATAGAACCTGGATTTTTCTCCTTCGTAGTTACATAGAGTTGAAACAGAAATTACAGTTCTACCCTCCTCTGAATATTGCATTCCTTATCTATGGGACAGTTAGATAAGACTCAGAATCTGATCAACCCCAGGGTTTGAGATTCAAATTAAGAGAATAAATGTGCATATTTGAATACGTGTCACACTTAAGGATTAAAGGCAAAGCAAGGCATTTGGCAAGTGCAGGGTCTGTCAAAACTGCTTTTTCTGTTGCAAGCAAGTATGAGCCCATGCTTGCTATGTTCTAAGCACTTTGCAAGGCCCTCTTGGTTATAACATAAATTTCAGATTGTATGCCTCTCAGTAACTTAAAATGTAGTTTATAAAGAGTAGGGATTTTTGTTTGTTTTTATCTCTTGGTGACATCTAATATATTTTAAATGCTAGATAAGCCCATAATTCTGGATGTTACTGACTTGAAACTGCTCTCTCTCCTGTAATTCTAGGTTTATCACTTCTGTTCTTACAAGGCCACTTTAAATCTAATAGGGAATTACTTTGAGTCAGAACTAAACACTCTGTGGACATGCCTACTTTACCCTAGACTTTATTTGGTCTCTGTTGAGGAGAGATCTGTCTGAATCCCCCTTTTTGACCCTAATTCTAACCCGATTCAGTTTGAGACCTTCGTTCTTCATAACAGGGTCTTGATCTGATGGCAAAAACTGGTAGGATTCATTTTCAGCAGGTATCTTTGTTCATGAGCTTTGCTTCTTTTACCTTAGTGACTGTTGGGCTTCTTCCCCATTCCTTGAACATCCATTTCAAGCAGATAATTAACTTCCTACTCTATTGCAAAAAATAGTGATGTGTGGTGTGGACTCTCCAAGCTTCCCTCCTACCATTACTAAACTTATCTACAATATCTTAAGCAACCATCTCATTCTCTTCCCTCCCCCAGTTTCAGAAGTGTACCTATTCACCTTTCCAAGGAAGGGTTCACCTTTCTACAGCTCTTTCACTTTCACCATTTTGGAGACCTGCTCAACTCAGCTTAATTCTTCAGTCTTTCATCTTAGATCTTTCCCTCTCCATTGGCTCCTTCACTTTAGCTTGCACACATGCTCAAGTTTTACCCCATATTACAAACAAACAAGAAGAACCAAAAAACCTTGCCCTGGCCCCTGTCTTTACACTTTTCCTGTTGCCTTCTCTCTCTGCTTTCTTACACTGCAAAATTTATTGAAAGAGAATGCCTCTTCATTCTTCCCTCCCATTCCCTTCCCAAATGCAATCTAACTTTTGATCCCACTAGTCTGTTGACATTGCTGTAGATAAAAAAGCTAATGATGTAGTTTTCAATCTAGAGGCTGATTTTACTCATACTATTTAACATCAATTTTGTCCACACGAAGACCCTTTTTTGATGTCCTCAGTGGTATTTTTTGCTGCTCTCACTTCTTTTTCTCACTTCATTAGTTTATTCCTCTTTAATGATTTTTCCGTAAATATTGGCATTCCCCAACATTTTATTCTCTGGTTCCTGCTCTGTTTGCTTTGCAGGGACTTTCTGGGCAATCTTGTTTATGCTCACAGTTTCATTTACCAGCTGTGATCTTAGTGATTCCCAAGTCTTCATTGCTCTGACCTTTCTTCTTAAATCCAGATCCATATGTCCTGGGGTCTCCTGGACATCCTCGTTTCATTGTACCACAGGTACTTTAATACTCAGTCTATTAAATATTGAAAGAAGATTTCCCTGTAAATCTCCAAAATCTCTTTTCTCTATAAAATCCACAATATAGCTTGAAACGGGGAAGGGGGTGTTGTTTAAAGTATATTAGGCAGTTACGCATGCTTTTAGTAAACAATTTTAATTCTTTCCTCTTCTTCTCCCTTATTTCCCACATCCAACTTATGTTGATATTCTTTGTTTTTTACTGTAATGTTTTGGCCTTCTCTCCAGGTGTCAATTACCTGGACTATTGCAGTGATCTCTTGAGGTCTCTCTTTCCCATCTCCCTTCCTACCCTCAGTT